CTACTACTACCACCATTACTACTACTATCACTACTACTACTACTACTACTACTACTACTACTACTACTACTACTACAAAAACTAAAACTACTACTACTACTACTACTACTACTACTATTACTACTACTACTACTACTACTACTACTACTACTACTACTACTACTACTACTACTACTACTACTACTACTACCCGTCCTCCTCCTGCTCCTCCTGTTGTTGTTGGTCTTCGTCCCGCTCCTCCTCCTCCTCCTTCATCTCCTCCTCCTCCTCCTCCTCATCATCATCATCATCATCATCAGCATCAGCAGCATCATCATCGTCGTCAGCATCAGCATCGTCATCATCAGCAGCATCGTCAGCAGCAACAGCAACATCAGCATCATTATCAGCAGCATCATCATCATAATCGCAATCAGCATCGTCGGCATCATCATCAGCATAATCAACATCATCAGCATCGTCATAATCATCGTCATCACCACCACCACCATCAGCAACAGCATAATCATCAGCAGCATCACCATCAGCAGCATAATCAGCATCATCGTCATCATCATGACCATCATCATAATCATCAGAATCATCATCATCATCACCACCAGCATCATCATCATCATCATCATCATCATCATCATCAGCATCAGCATCCGCATCATCATCCTTAGCATCATCATCAGCAGCAGCATCATCATCACCATAAGCATCAGCACCAGCATCCACATCATCAGCAGCAGCAGCAGCATCATCAGCATCATCATCAGCAGCATCGTTAGCATCAGCATCATCATCAGCAGAGTATCATCATCATCATCACCAGCAACATCATCATCATCATCATCATCATCATCATCATCATCATCATCATCATCATCATCCATCATCAGCATCGTCATCATCATCATCATCATCATCATCATCATCATCATCATCATCATCACCATCATCATCATCTTAGTCAGCATCAGCATCAGCATCAGCAGCATCATCATCCGCAGCATCATCATAATAATAATTTCCCTCCCCCCCCTTCCTCCCAACCCGAAGTCCTCATGCTCCCCTAACAATCCTAAATTACTCGACGCGGACACCCCCATATATGCATCACATACTCCTGTTACGTCACGCTCAGAAACATTGTCTGTGAGCACCTGGTTGTGAGAGCGAATCAGCGACGGGCGCGACAACGACGACGGCGACAGCGACGACTTCAGTGGCGTCTTCCACCCCCGGGCATCGTTCACGAGAGGTGAAGGGGAGCACAAGTGGAAGGTAGAGGAAGCGTTGGACCAGCAGATAGGGGAAGATTGAATGAATATGAGCGTGACTGATCGGACGGTGAGTGGGTCTGACTGTGAGTGAACCCAGGCATGGCTGAGTGTGAGTGTTAGTGAGTCTAGGTATGAAAAGAGTATGAGCACGAGTGGGTCTGACTATGCGCAGGTATGGGTGCGCGTGAGTCTGAGCGAGAGTGACTCTGAGTGTCGCAAAGTCTGAGTGTGGGTGGGCCTGGGAATGAGCTGATGAGTATGAGTCTGAGTGGGACTGAGTACGGGTGAGTCCGACTACGAATGGATATGAAGGCGCTTGGGCCTGAATGCGAGTGAGTCTGAGTGTGGGTAAGCCTGAGTGTGAGTGAGTCTGAGTACGAATATGACGAGTATGAGCAAGTCTGGTTACGAATACGTTTCGGCACGGATGAGTCGGAGGGTGGGCGAGTCGGACAGTGAGTAATTTCGAATGAATTAGTCTGGCTGTGAGTTTTTTTTTTGCAGAGCCCAGTTTTCCGGGGGAGGGCGGGGGGGGCGGCGGCTGTGCGCCCGCGGCGGGCGGCTGCTCGCGAGCTGGGCCTCCCCTCGCGACCCCTGGGGGGGCCTCCCCGCTCCCGGCGGCGCTGGCGGTGGCCACCAGCTGTGCTGCAGCGGTCCGCGGACGAGAACGAGCCGTCCAATATGCAACTTCGCCGCAGGGTGAGACGGAAAAAAACAAAAACAAAAAAAACATCTGAGCCTGGCGCGCGGTCCGTCGCCGGAGGCGTCGCGAACGGCGGTGAAACCTGTTGGGCAGACCGAGCGAACGGACAAGGAAGAGGAGGAGGAGGAGGAGGAGGAGGAGGAGGACCAGGAAGAGGAGGAGGGGGAAGGAGGAGAGGGGGAGGAGCGAGCAGGCGGCTCACAGGCCCCCCCCGGCCAGGCCCCGCCGGGCCCGGGCCCACTGCTGCCCGTCGGTGGCACCGCCGCGGGTGTCGCCCACCTCGTCGGAGAGGCCCTCCTGCGGGCTGTCGCCCGACCTCACGATGGTGCCGGGCCTCCGCGGGGGCCCTCTCGCCGCGGGCGGCGTGCCGCCGGCGCCCGGGCTGCGCTCGTCGAGGAGGCTCGGGCTGGAGGTGCCGGCGCTGCAGGCGCCCGGGCGGCGCTCGTCGAGGCTCGGGCTGGAGGCGCCGGCGCCGCGGTCGTGCGGGGAGCCCGGGCTCGGGCCGCGGGTCCGCGCGGGCCACGCCGCCAGGTCCGCCGCCTGCGCGGCGGCGCTCCGCCGCCGCTCCCTCGCGACGGCGGGCGGCAGGCAGGGCGGGGCGCGCACGGGCTGCTGCTGCAGGAGGCTCTTGATGCGTCGCAGCTCGACCTCCGTGTCCCTCAGGGGGTCATACAGCTCCCTCCGCCTGGAGTCGCGCGACCCGGACACCCCGGCCACGCTCTCGGACATGGAGTTCACCGCCTGGCCGAGGTCCTGCGTCGCCCACACGTAGGCGGTGGTGGCCTTCTCGAAGACGTCGTGCAGCATCCTCTCTCGAGGGATCATCTCCGTTTCCATCAGCTCCACCACCCGCGCCAGTTCCTGCTGCAGCAGAAGCTGTTCCTGGTACATCTCGGCCATCTCACGCACGTGCTCCGCCTCCAAGATTTCAAGATACCGACTCGTCAGCGGCTGCGCCTTCTCCACAAATCTGGCATTATGTCGCATGGCCATGGCACGTGGTGAAGAGTGAGCAACTACTACGCGGGATCAGAATGCTCGTGCTCGAACCAAAGTTCAATGCTTGAGCCAAAATGGCTACGGAGCTTGTCTGGCTGTGAGTGGGCCTGTGTGGGCGAGTCTGACTGTGAGCGAAGTCTTAGACTAAGTGGATCTGGGTACGAGTGAGTCTGAGTGTGATGAGTGCGTATGGGAGGGGAAGAGGTGCCGGTAAACAGGTCTGAGTGTGAAAGCGCCTGGGTGGAGAAGAAGAGGGAAAGGTGAGTGAGTAAGTCGGGTCAAGGGCCGTCTAGTAACACAAATCCAAAAGACAAGCCTGGGGTGGGCCGAAACAGGCAAACCACCTGAGGCACCCATACAATCTGGACACGAACGGGCGGGTGCCACACCCCCTGGCGGCTCCCTCTTGGAGTGCTGGAACCACCGCCTTGCCGAACACATCGCCACAAACTGCTCCCAAAGCAAAACGTTGGGCACACAAACAGGCAACCCGCCGGAGGCGTCTCCAGAAGCTGTGCGCGAGCGGGCGAGTGTCATACTCCCTGGCGTTACCTCTTGGGAGTGGTGAAACCAATACCCAATGCCTCGCCTGGGACAGCCTCAGCACCTGCTCCGAGAGCGATAAATGCTGGGCCCGCACACAGGCAAACCGCCTGAGGCATTCCCGCAGTCTGGGTGCGCACGGGCCCGCGCCATACCCTCTGGCGCCCCCCCCCTTGAGGGGTGCCGAAACTGGGCGCCTCGCCTGAGGCAGCCCCACTCACTGTTCCGAACGCAAGGGATGTTGGGCACGCAAACAAGCAAACCGCTCGAGATACCCCCGCAGTCTGGGCGCGAACGGGTCCGTGCCATACCGCCTCTGGGGTTCCCCCCGTGTGGGCATTGCTGAAACCAACGCCTCGCGTGGTACATCCTCAAATGCTGCTCCGAACGCAAGAGACACTGGGCACACAGCTGGGAATACCGCCTGAGACAGGAGAGCCCGTGAGTCCGAGGACTCTACGTGTACGTGTGCGCGCGCGTGTCTGAATATGAGTCGGCCTTGGTGCGAGTGGGTCGGGGCGTGACTTGGCCTGAGTACGAATGAGCCTGAGCGCGAGGGAGTCTGAGTCTGAGTGGATGTGAATATGAGCGGGCCTGAGAGTGAGTGGGTTTGGGTTCGAATGAGCCTGGGTGCGAGTGAGTCTGACTGTGAGCAAGTCCAAGGACGAGTGAGTCCGAGTTTGAGTGAGTCCGAGTATGAGTGGATAAGGGTAAGTCTGAGCGACTCCGACTGGGGAAGGGGAAGAAAAGGAGGTGAGGAAGAGGTTATCGGAACCGTTATCATAATTACTCGACGCGGCGATCCCCATATATGCATGTCATGCTCCTGTCAAGCTTCGCTGAGAAATTCTGTCTATGGGTATATGGCTGTGAAAGCGAGTCCGCACAGACGACAGACGCGGCAATGACGACGACAGCGACGCCTTCAGTGACCTTCTCTCCTCCTCCTCCTCCTCCTCCTCCTCCTCCTCCTCCTCCTCCTCCTCCTCCTCCTCCTCCTCCTCCTCCTCCTCCTCCTCCTCTAGGCGTCTTTCAAGAGGGACGAGGGGAACACAAGTGGAAGTGTGAGGGGGAGTTTCTCCTGCGGTCTTGCCCGCAGCAGCTCAGGCAAACGCGCATGGCGTTGCTACTCCTGCCATCTGGCGTGCTACTCGCAACGCCTGCTGTCACTTAGGATGCCCAAGTAGCACGCGGGCTGTATCATGGTAACAACTTGTGTGTGGGCCTTGATGCGAATGAATATGAACGCGGGTGATCTGCACGTGAGCGAGCCAAAGTGTTAGCGGATCCGGGTATGATTGAGCCAGGGAGTGAATGAGTCGGGGTATAGTCCGCGTGAGTACGAGTTGGTCTCAGTTTGAGCGGGCCAGAGTGCGACAACCTGGGAGTGAGTGAACCAGGGTGTGAGGTAGTCAGAGTGCGAGTGGGTCTGAGGGCTGGTGAATATGACTGTGAATATCAAGGTAATTTGGTCTGGGTGCGAGTGAATCCGATGTTGGTCGAGTCTGCATGTGAGCGAGTAAGTATGTGTGAGCCTGAGTATGATGAAATTTGAAAATGAGCGAGTCTGACTGAGCTAAGTGGACCTGAGTGAGGAAGGGATGCTGCTGAGGAAGTCCGAGTGCGAAGGAGTGCATCCGAATGGGGAAAAGGGAAGAAGGCGAGTGAGTGCGTGAGGAGCACACACAAGCCCAAAGACGAGCATGGGGTGTGGCGGAGACAAGCAAGCCTCATGAGACATCCCCCCCAAAAAAAAATCAGAGCGCGAATCCTGGAGTGTCCCCACCCCAGGCAGCCCCCCCGTGGGGTCCCCAAACGCCACGCCTGCTATATCGTTGTGGGCACTGGACACCAAATAAAATGTCTGGGGGGGGGGCAGAAACGAGAAACCGCCCGAGGCATCCCCACAATCCGGACTCGAACCCTTGAGTGTCCCTACCCCTGGCGGCTCCCCCATTGAGGTGCTTAAGTGCCACGCCTGCTATATAGCGGTGAGCGTTGGACCACAATCACAACCTGGGGAGGTGGGGGGGGAGACACAAGCAAACCGCCCGAGGCATCGCCACTGAGTATACGCGAACCCCAGAATGCCCCCACCCCTAGCGGCCCCGCCTTGGGGTGCCCACGCCTGCTTTATCGCAGTGAACATTGGACCACTTGGACCACCGAAATAATGTGTATGGAACCAGGCGATGTCGAGCATGCAATCAAGCAAACCGCATGAGACGTCACCATAATCTGGGCGCGAACGGGCCCGTACCATACACCGCATCGGATCCCCGTTGGGGAGTTGAAACTAACGCATCGCTTGAGGCATCCTCGCAACCTGCTCCGAAAGCAAAGGATGATGAGCATGCAAACAGGCGAACCGCATGAGACACCCACACAATCTGGGTGCGAACGGGCTCGTGTCATACCCCCTGTCGGCTGCCCCTCGGGGGCTGAAACCAGCGCCTCGCCTTAGACATCCTCACGATATACATATATATATATACATGTGTATGTGTGCATATGTGTGTATACACACAAACATGTACAGGGGGAGTCTGAATGAGAGTGAGTCTGAGTATGAGTGGGCCTGAATAGGAGTGAGTCTGAACATGAGCGAATATGAATACGAGTGAGTATGGGCGTGAGTGGGTACGAGTGCGAGTGCGGAACGACTCTGAGTACGAGCGAGCCTGAATGTGAGTGACGACTGAGTCTGACTATGAATGAATCTGAACGGGCCATAAAGTGGAGGCCCAGCCACAAGAAACCTTCCACAAGAAACCCAATCCTGAGACCCCAGGGCGTCCCTTGACTTTTGGTATGGGAACGTCACGATCTACATAACAAAACACTCGAAACCTCAGAAACCCAGGGCACCCTGGAGGCATGGGCCTCCACTGTAACTTCGTCTGAGCGAGTCTGAATGCGATTGAGTATGGGCGAGTCTGACTTCGAGTCTGAATTAGTACGCATAAGTCCGAGTGATCATGACTAAGGAAAAGGAGGAAGAGGAGGTGGAGGAGGAGGATATGTTGTCGGAGCCGCCTAAGCAACTACTCGACGCGGAGATCAGATGTGCACATCATGGTCCTATCACGTTTCGCTGAGGAACTCTGTCTGCGAGCATCTGGGTGTGAGAGAGGATCCGCGTGGACGACAAGCGCGGCAATGACGACGACAGCGACGACTTAAGTGACGCTCTCCTCCTCCTCCTCCTCCTCCTCCTCCTCCTCCTCCTCCTCTTCCTCTTCCTCCTCTGGAGATCGTTCAGGAGAGACGAGAGAAACACAAGTGGAAGAGCGAGGGAGAGTTCCTCTTGCCGTTCTCCCCAGCGGCAACTCCGGCAGGCGCGCATGGCGTTGCTACGCCCGCTCTCTGGCATGCTACTCTCGACGCTTGCTGGCATTTGGGGTGCCGAAGTGCCACGCCGGCTATATCGCCGTAACCATGCGTGTGGACGTAGTACGAGTAAATATGAGCGAGGGTGATCTGAGTGTGAGCGAATCGGAGAGTGAGTGGACCCAGATATGATCGAGCCTAAGTGTGAGCGAATCTGGATATAGTCAGTGTGGATACGGTGGATCTGAGTATGAGTGCGTCTGAGGTCTGAGTGCGAGCGAGTCTGAGTGCGAATGGGTCTGTGTGTGAGTGAGCCTGAGTTGGGGGGAGTCTGAGTTTGAGTGTGACGGATACAGTTCGAGTGTGAGTGATCCTGGGTGCCAGGTATTCTGCGTGTGAGTGAATCTGAGGGCTGGTGAGTCTGAATGTGAGTGCATCTGAGTGTGAGTTGGTCTGGGCGTGGGTGCGTCTGAGTTTGAGCGAGTCTGAGTATGATCGAGTCTGAGTATGGGCAAGTCTGAATGTGATGACTGAGTCTGAGTGGGGAGAGGTGCTAATGAGCAAATCCGACTGAAAATGAGTGCCACCGAGTGGGAAGAAGGGGGAGGTGAGTGAGTGAGGAGCACACAGATCCAAAGAATAGTCTGGGCGGGGAAGAAACAGGCAAACCTCCTGAGACATCCCCTCAATCTGAGCGCGAATCCTGAAGCGTCCACCCTGGTGTCTCCGCCCTGGGGTGCCCAAGTGCCTCGCCTGCCACATCAGGGTGAACCTTGGACCTCAAACAGAGAAACGTCTGGGGGGGGGGGGGGGGGGCAGAAACAGGCACGCCGCCCGAGACCTCCCCCCTCCCCAGTCTGAGCGCGCATCCTGGAGCGTCCCCACCCCTGGCGGCTCCCCCCTGGCCATCGCTCGGACGTCCATTCCCTGTGCTTCTTGTCGGTTTCGTGCGTGTGTTTTTTTCGCCTAGTTGTCAAGAATGCTCCTCGATGGTCCTCGCCGAGGAAACAAAAAAACCCTGGCCATCGCTCGGACGTCCACTCCCTGTGCTTTTTGTCGGTTTCGTGCGTGGTTTTTTTTCGCCAGGTTGTCAAGAATGCTCCTCGATGGTCCTCGCCGAGGAAACAAAAAAAACCCTGGCCATCGCTCGGACGTCCATTCCCTGTGCTCTTTGTCGGTTTCGTGCGTGTTTTTTTCGCCCAGTTGTCAAGAATGCTCCTCGATGGTCCTCGCCGAGGAGGATAAGAAGAGAA